CATACATATGTACCTATGATAAAGTTTAATTTATACATTAGGAACAGTAAGAGAGTAACAATAGCTAACAATAAAATAGGACAGTTATAACAACATATTACAACAAAAGTTATGTGAATGTGACATCATTAAACAAGTAAGGGTTACTCGAACACGAGCACTGATACCATGACAGTTGATCTGATAACTGAGAAGCCTACTAAGTGACTAATAGGCAGGTGACATATACAGCATGTATATGCTAGACAAAGGGATGATTCATGTTCCAGGTGGGATAGAGCTGGATGGCGCAAGAGTTCATCATGCTACTCAGAACGATGAACAGTTTAAAACATACGAAGTGTTTATTTCTGGAACTTTCCATTTAATATTTGCCAACCTCAGGTGACCTCAGGCAACTAACTGAAACCACAGGCTACAAAACTCTGTAAGGAGGGACCACTCTAAATGCTTACATGAGAAAACAAGAGAGATCCCGTCAGCAACCTAACTTCATAACTTACAGAATACGAAAGAAAAGAACAAACTAAACTGAGAGCTAGCAGGAGGGAAATAATGAAGAGTAGCATAGAGGTAAATAAAATAGAGAATAAAAAAACTGTAGAGAAAATCAGTGGAATTAAAAGTTGGTTCTTTGGGAAGATCGATAAAATTGATAATCTGTTAGCTAGATGGACTATTAAAAAGAAAAGGCTCAAATTACTAAAATCATAAATGAAAGTGAGGGTATTAGTACAGATTCTGCAAAAATAAGAGTATTATAACAGAGCCCTGTGAACAATTGTATGCCAACAAATTGGATTACTGAGATGAAGTAGACAGATACACAACACAGTCTGCCAAGACCGAAAAAAAAGAAGATATAGAAAATATGAATAGATACGTAACTAGTAAGGAGACTGAATTAATAATGAAATATCTTCCAACAAAGAAAAGCCCTGGACATGGTGGCTTCACTGATGAATTCTGCCAAATAGTTAAAAACTGATACTGATCTTTCTCAAAAAAATTTTTTTAATTGAAGGGGAGTGAACATTTCCTAACTCATTCTGTGAGGCCCTTATTACCTCATTTCCAAAGCTGGACAAAGACACCGTAAGAAAAATAAACTACAGACTAATATCTTTTATGAACATTGATGCAAAATCTGCAACAAAATAGTAGCAAACAAGGCAGCACATTTAAAGGATTATATGTACATCAGGACCAAGTGGGATTTCTTCCTGGAATGGAAAGATGGTCTAATGTACGGAAACTGAACAATAAGAAAGGCCACATCAGCAGATGTAGGGTAAAAACGACTCATTCATCTGTTGCAGGAAAAGCATTTGACAAACTTGAGCATCCTTTTCATGACAAAAACAATTAACAACCTGGGAATGAAAGAAAACCAATCAATGTAATAGAAGCCTTATGTAAAAAACCTACGGTGAATGTCATACTCAGTGGTGAAAGACAGAAAGTTTTGCCTCTGAAGAGGAGGAACAAGGGAAGAATGAACAATCTTACTTCTTTTTAACTAAGTATTGGATGTTCTAGCCATAACAGGTTATAGCCAAGAAAAAGAAGAGTTATTGAAATAGAATAAATAAAATGACCTCTTTGGAGATGATACATTTTTATATGCAGAAAACTCTGATTCCACACATACACAAAAAACTCTTGTTAGAACTAATTAATGAATTAAGCAGTGTAATAGGGTACAAAGTCACCATTCAAAAGTCTTTTGCATTTTTATAAGTGAACGTGAACAAACTAAAAAGGAAATTACAAAAACAATTCTATTCAAATAGCATCAACAATAATAAAAATGCTTGGGAATTAAGCAAGGAAGAAAAAGACTTGTGCAATACAAAACATTGCTGAAAGAAAGAATACACATAAGCAAATTAAAACACATCTCAGCTTCATGGGTTGGAAGTCTTTAACATTATTAAAACTTCACTTCTACCCAAAGCTGTTTATTCAGTGCAATTCATACCAAAATTCCAGTGGAGGCTTTTTTTCAGCTAGCACACTCATTCTGAGATCCATTTGGAATCTCCAAATACCCAATAATCTTGGAAAAGGAGAACTAAACTGGAGGACCCACACTTTTTGATTTTCAAAACTTACTACAAAGCCACGATAAAGTAGTGCCTAATTTGTTGGGTGAAGGTAGACATATAGACCAATGGAATAGAACAGAGAGTCCAGAAATAAACGGTCACATATATGGTCAAATGATTTTTGACAAGGGGACCAAGACAATTCAGTAGGCCAAGGACAGTCTTTTCAAGAAGCAGTGCTGGGAAAACTGGATATCCACAAGCAAAAAGAGTGAAGTTGGACTCTTATCACACTCCATATTCAAAAATTGCTTTAAGCCCCTGCCACATGGCTGTTGGTTGGAGCGTCAGGCCATTCACCAAAGGACTGCAGGTCTGATCTCCAGTCGGGGCACATGCGTCAGTTGTGGGTTCAATCCCCCATCAGGGAATGTATGGGGGATCGAATATGTTCGATCAGGCAACTGATCAGTGTTTGTCTCTCATATTAGTGTTTCTCTACCTAAAATCAGTGAACATATCCTCAGGTGAATATTTTTTTAAAATGCTTCAAAATGGATCAGTGACCTAAATGTAAGACTTAAAACAATAAAACCTTTTAAAAAACATAGGATTTCATGACATTTACTTAGCTTCACAACATTGGATTTGGCAATGATTTCTTGAATATGACTTGAATAGACATTTCTTCAAAGAAGATGGACACAAAAGGACAATAAATACCTGGGAAAAACAGCAAACAGGTGTTAGGAAGGATGAGAGGAAACTGTTGGGAGTATAAAGTGGTACCGCTGCTGTGGAGAACTGTGGAGGTTCCTCGGAAAATGACCAGTCAGCATATGACTCACCGACTTCTCTGGGCATATACCTAAGAGAATTGAAAGCAGCATCTCAAAGAGATACTTGTCACCTATATCATAGCAGCATTACTCACAGTAGCTGAAACGTGGAAGCAAGTGAAGTAACCATGGACAGATCGATGGACAAGCAAAAATACATTGTATACGTATAACGTAATATTACTCAGCCTGAAAAAGGAAGGACATCTTTCAATATATTACAGCATGGATGAACTGTGAGGATGCTGTTTGTTAAATAAGCTAGTCACAATAAGACCAGTACTCTGGTTCCACTTACACAAGGTATTTAGAGTGGTCAAAATCATGCAGAAAGTACACTAGTGGATGTGGGGGGAGGAGAAATTGGTGAGGTATTGTTTAGTGGGTGCAGAATTTCAGTTTTTACGAGATGAAAAGAGTTACGGGGGTGGTTGGTGGTGTTGGTTCAACAACAGCGTCAGTGCTTATATTCAGTAATGTGGAATTGTATACTTAAAGATATCTTTATGTTAATTGTATTTTACCACATAAACATTTTAAAAAACATTTCAGGTTCATCTCAGATTAATCTGTATTCTGTACCCATCTGTTCTTCATGTTACTATGAAATTTGTCTTTCTAAAACACTGCTTTGTTTATATCATTTCTGCGCTCAAAAATTTTCATTGTCCTCTAGTGTCTGACCTGTGTCCACCTTTCTGTCCTAACCTGCCGTTGGTAAAATCATCTCACATTAGCTAAACTAATTACTTAACTGTCTCCTAGCTCCTCCTGCTACCTTCTGATTCCTAATACACTTGTAAGTTCTACCTTTAATGCCCTCCTTTCCCCTTTTCTTCCTCCTTTCTCTGAATGTGTAAGTCGTTTTAAGGGCCTACTTAAATTTGAACTCCCCTAGAAAATGTCCCCTAAATGCCCCCCTTGTGGTGGCTTCACTTCTAAGGACCTGTAGCATTTGTTGATTAAACAGTTCATCAGTTGGTTGGCACTAGCTGATGCTTGTGTGTGCTTGTTGCCCCAAATATCTTTAAACTTAATAGGCTCAGAACTACATCTTAAAATTATTTGTAATTATCCACTAGACCTAATAACTTGAATTGATTATAGATATTTTATGAATAATAAGTAAAGATGCTCTTCAAGTAAATTTTAGACCTGTCAAATTCCAGAGCATCTGGCAGTGTTTCTGGGGAAGATACTCTTGGTATTCAGGTTGGGTACTTGCCCTTGTTAAAATTTTTAGAGCAATTAAATGTAGTCTGTAAGGTAACTTAGAGTGCATTTTCAGGCAATAAAATAATTTTGAGAAATGTGGAATCTTTTGGGGGGGGCTCTAGGATTGTATCAAAAATAAATAATTGTGTTTGGGTATGTACTTACCTTTGGTTCGTGTGCCGGGTTAAAGTTAGTTGTAGAAATGTCTTGCTAGTTGTGTGTCAATGTTGTGTAAGTGTTGTAGTACTGGTAAAGATTTTGTTTTTAAGTCAGATGAGTTAAAATGGACATTAAGGTATCAATTCTGTGTTGTATTACTGTGGTACTGCTTTTTCTAAATGTGGAAGTCAAGTTTTAATGTTTTTTAAAGAGTCCATTGTTAGCACAAAAGTTTGTCTCTGTTAATCTTGTGTGTGTTTGTGTATACACATGCACATAGCTTCTGTAGAGTTGTGATGAGGATATTAAGTATTAAATTTATTATTCTTAAGAACCCAGAGAGAACATTCCAATAACTTTGATGTTCCCTGTCCAACACCTAGAAAAAGGGTATTATTTCAAGAAGTTTAATGGGGAATGTGTTAATTGTGTGCACAAAACTAAAAAAGTAGTTAGACTTCTAACCTGTTACTTGTAGTACTATCCATTTTAAGTAGTAGTTTTTAAAATAAACTATTGTTTTGGGGGAACCTGATTAGAATGTAAGTTGCTCTGGGGTAGGGGTTTTATCTTATTATACTTCTTTATATCCTTAATATCAACCTCATGTCTCGAATCATAATGCTTCAGTAAATGTTAACAGGATAAGATGTCTGTTTTTCTGACTTTGGGGAAGTTTGTTTTTATTGTGGGAGAATGATTTTCCTCTGATTTTATTCGATTTGTTTTCTTTTTACAGCCCCATTGACAAACCTTCAGATTCTCTCAGTATAGGGAATGGTGATAATTCCCAGCAGGTAAGATTTGGATACTGTATCTTCTCCTTTATCTGCTCTCTCCTCGTACCCGCCCCCCCACCCCAGACAGGGTATTCTGTGTAAGTGAATTTTCTAGGTAGTGCAAAATACTTTAAGTACTAAATAATTTAAATTGTTAAATACTAAACAATTTAACATTCTTTTTTTTTTTTTTTTTAAACAGACAGGCTTTTTTTTTTTTTTCTTTTTTTTAAAGGGGAAGGGAAGGAGAGAGGGAGAGAAACATCAATGTATGGTTGCCTTTTGTGCATCCCCTGCTGGGAACTGGCCTGCAGGGAACCAGCCTGCAACCCAGGCATGTGCCCTGACTGGGAATCGAACCGCGATCCTTTGATTCGCAGGCCCGTGCTCAATCCACTGAGCTACACCAGCCAGGGCCAACATTCTTCTTAAATGTTTATAATTAGCCTTCTTTTTCTCCACAGAATCTATAGAGCATAATTTAACCCTTTCATGACTCAGAATTACCATTATGATCATATGTCATTGTGCTCTGTGGCAATGTACTAGTAGTGTCCTTAGAATCTCTTACTGTCTTTTGACAAAAAGATATATATATATATATATTTATATTTTAATTTTTAGAGAGAGGGGAAGGGATGGGGGAAGAGAGGGAGAGAAACACCCGTTGGTTACCTGTTCTACACACTCTGACTGGAGACTGAACTCACAACACAGGCATGTGACCTGACCAGGAGTTGAACCAGCAACCTTTCACTTTGTGGGACAATCAGTGTCCAGCCAACTGAGCCACACTGGTCAGGGCTATGGTCTTCTTGGCCCTACGTGAAATGGTCCCAGACTCTGCTTCGTACATTCCTGATTTTGAGAGTTGTTTCTATGCCATATGCTTCCCTGTCCCTTGCTGACAGCTTTATTTTCTCTGTGTACTTGCTCACAGCAGTTTTTCCCTTCCTCCAAATGACTATGGGATTTGAAATGATAACTAACTAGTTAAGTTCAGAGTTGCCCAGCAGTGCCACCGAATGGTGTCCTGATCTTTAGAGCTTGCTCTGTATCATTTTGTTCTGTTGCTAGTTTTTCACTGGTTAAGTTTCTGTACACCTTCTCACATTGGTAAAAATTGTAGTGCTAATCCCTTCCACAGTGTTTGTGAGAAATTTAGAGATCTGAAATACACTGCTTTTCCAAAATTTTGCTCACAAATTCCATAAAAGAATTTGAAAATCTGTATGTCCCCTTGTGTATTTTAGGTTTACACTTAAGATTTTTGAATAATAGGTTTAAAAAACTGTAAAGGATGTAATTTCCAACATATTGTATATTGGTATTTTGATTTGATCAAAGCAACTTATGTAAGTATAGATTTTGAGAAATACTGGTTATTAAACAAACACTTAAATTACAATGGAAATTTATTTCTTATTGAGATCGACAGGACCATTTAAAAGTTAGTTTTCATGTATCTGTAGATGATTACCTTTTGGTACAAGTTTCAGCAGTAATCCCAGTCATGTTTTTATTTTTGTAAATGCAAGGGCTAAGATGTCTTGTTCTTACAAATGCGAAATGGAAGAAAGAGTATTATATCAGTGTCACTCAGATGTTTCAAACTCCTTTGAATCAAATACATCATAAGAAAGATTTATCATAAAAATTATTTTTAATGATGTCTGTGGAAGTAACTTGATTACTTCTTCTTTCCATTTCCCCCCGCCAAAACTAATACATTGGGAGTCACCTACTTTGCAAAAGAATCCAGTCATGAGAGTCAGTCACCTGCTTGTCACCAGTCTGAATACTTCTGGTCCATTTTTGTGTGGCTCCCACGAAGTTTTCACTGTTGAGCAGAATACTATAGTTAGGTCCCAGAGAGTGAGAAGTGTTCTTTCCTGTGTAAAGTGAGAGACGTTAGGTTGTAAAGGCTGTAAAAGGAGGAGACTGGCTTAGCCTTTTCAGGAGGGTCAGTTTTAGCAAAGGGTACTTATGTAAGCTGATGGAGGTTTTTTGAAAATTTGTGCACTCATAAAAAGCTTTCAAGGACCCCAGTTTGAAGGCCACTATTCTAATACCTTTTTGTTGCAAGTTGTGTTAATTGTGGCTTATTAAAATGTAAAAATTTATGTTGATTATTCTTTTCTTTCCCTGTTTTATTTAGATATCTAACAGCGATACACCTTCACCGCCACCTGGTTTATCAAAATCTAACCCAGTCATCCCCATCAGTTCATCCAATCACAGTGCACGGTCTCCTTTTGAAGGGGCAGTGACTGAGTCACAGTCGTTATTCTCAGATAACTTTCGCCATCCCAACCCTATTCCAAGTGGGCTCCCTCCTTTCCCCAGCTCCCCACAGACATCTAGCGACTGGCCTACGGCACCAGAGCCACAGAGTCTCTTCACATCAGGTGGGTGCCTGGCAGTGCTACTGCAGTTAACAGTGACGCTCCTCGGCTGGGGGTGTTTTTATCCTGTTTGCCCTGTTTCCTTTTCCATAAAAATGTAATCATTTGAATAAACTGCATGGAATTGGGTGGTTAGGGAAGTTGTTCTGTGACGTGGAACTTAGTTCTCTGTTAACAGATTTCTCTAGAAATCATTGGTTCAATCATTTTTTCCCAGTAATAAAACACTTATTCCTCTAGAAGTATTAAGGGCTTATGATTTTAATCAGACTTGTTTGTACAGTTAAATTTAAAATTTTCCCAGGTGATAAAAAACAAAAGTTAGTTTATATTAAAATTTATATTTTTGAGCCATTTTCATTTTTATTTAAGTTCTCTTACTAATGTGAAGGATGGCATAAAATTAACATTGACAAAAGCATCTATTGCCAATGGAGCAAATTAAAAAACTGTAAAAATTAAAGGTTCTTTATTAAGTTATTTTTTTTAGCAGTATATAGAGCATATACACATTCAAAATTGTTTATGCTGTTTAATAAATACATTTTTAAAATGAACTTCACTAATAAATTCTGTTATATTTGTTATTACTTTATTTCATTTAAATGACTTATTCTGGGTTTTGATTATGAAAGACTGAGTATAATTTGGATTTCAAGTACTTTTTTAAAAAAGATTTTATTTATTTATTTTTAGAAAGAGGGGAAGGGAGGGAGAAAGAGAGGGAGAGAAACATCAGTGTGCGGTTGCCTCTCATGTGGCCCCCACTGGGGACCTGGCCCACAACCCAGGCATGTGCCCTGACTTGGAATTGAACCAGCGATCCCTCGGTTCTCAGGCTGCGTTCATTCCGCTGAGCTACACCAGCCAGGACTCAAGTACTTTTTATTTGATTAGCATAATCAGTGAATGTCATTCATAGTTTTTGAAATTAGTAACTTAATGAAGTCATTGCTAGAACTATATGAAGTCTAGTGTAATTTTACCATTTTACTCTACTAAGAAATCATACATACCTTGTGTATATTTGCCTTTATCTTGTAATATGATGTTTAACTGTCACTGGTATGGATACTCATTAAGTATGAAAGTGAGCTGTGTATTTTAAACTCATCCCTAATTTTCTCCCCGACAGAAACAATCCCAGTATCATCCTCTACAGACTGGCAAGCAGCATTTGGCTTTGGTTCTTCTAAACAACCAGAGGATGACTTGGGTTTCGATCCCTTTGATGTCACTCGAAAAGCCTTAGCAGACCTGATTGAAAAGGAACTGTCAGTCCAAGACCAGCCTTCCCTTTCACCCACATCTCTTCAGAACTCCTCTTCACACACTACAGCCGCCAAAGGTCCAGGCTCTGGGTTCCTGCATCCTGCTGCACCGACAAATGCCAACTCTCTCAGTAGTAGTTCCTTTTCAGTCTTGCCACAGAGGTTCCCTCAATTTCAGCAGCACCGAGCAGTTTATAATTCATTCAATTTTCCAGGCCAGGCAGCCCGCTATCCTTGGATGGCCTTTCCTCGCAATAGCATCATGCACTTGAACCACACAGCAAACCCCACCTCAAATAGTAATTTCTTGGACTTGAATCTCCCGCCACAGCACAACACAGGTCTGGGAGGGATCCCTATAACAGGTAGGTTCATTTACAGCCCTTGAGAATTTGGGAATAATTCATGCCTTCAGGTTGTTGGGTGGGTAGGGAGGGAGCTTTTGAATAACCGAGTACCTATCATTAGTCTTGGAAATTTCTGGGGGGAAAAATGAAAAGTTCTTATAAAAAATTTTTATTGGGTGGATGCCTTGTAATATTGAGCTTTATAAGGATGGTGGAGTATTATACCTAGTTACTGCATGGAGTCATTTCACTTACTAGGATAGTTACCAAACTTTCATGTGCCATAAAAATACAAAGAGAAAAAGGAAAAATGGGCTCTGAAACTGTGCCAATACCGTGGTAAAACTTGACTATACGTTCTGAAGGTAAACTGGTTCCAAAAAATGGTCAAGATGGTAATAAGCGAGAGCATGAGGGATACAGCCACTCTCCCTACTTTTGGCAGTTACTTATTTTGACTGATAGACACACACACAACACCAGAACCGTGCTATATGTTAATAATGTTTGAGAACTTCGATTATCAATGTTTCACAGACATATATGTGCATAAGTGTACTTCCCGTGAAAAGGTATTGTTCCAGGAGAGAGATTTTCCTTTTGGCTCTGTCATTTTTATTGGGGGGGGGGGGTTACATATTAAGTTCCCGTAAGTGATGCCAGAATACTTCTGGTTTTGTACTGTCACCTGGAAGGTTTCAGGACTTTTGGGTTTCAAGGTCCCATATAGCCTTAGATCAAGTGACTTCTATGTCTAAAGGAATCATCCTAATGGATTTTTAAAATTTAATTTGGGCTTTAAAAGTGACTGGTAAGAGAGTTTGTTCCTCTTCTGATTCTCTCAAGTAGAATAGAACAGTCCCTAGCTCATATAGAATTCATTAAGGTTTTTTTGTCCTTTGTCACAGCCTTTAAGATACAGCATAGCACATCGTTATTGTCATAATGTGCTTTCTCCAGCAAGGTGTTTGTTCTCTTGTTTTTAGCAAGGTTGATAAATGGAGTTACAGAGATCCATCAAAATTCTTTGGCTCTAATCTCTTTATGACCAACAGTATTTCCCTTTTAAGATAAGTAGGTGGATTGAGAGTATTATTTGTGGCTGTCGATATAGTGAAGTTAACAGTTGATACAGTGAAGTTAATTTACATAGTCTTGACAGCACCTAACTGTAGTATTTTGCACATTAGTGGGACTCCTGATATTTGTTTATTCAACATGATAGTAGGTGGCATTTTTTAATCCTCGTCTATATGCTATGCACAGAAACAGTAAATATTTGGTTTCTGGTACTCTTTTTATTCTTTTGAGAGTATAATTTTATTTTGTTGCAATCTTTGAGAAATGTGGATTTTTAATTACTAGTAGTGTACCTTGTAACTGATTATAACATTAAAATTAAAGTTACATTTCCCCAAATATTCTAAACATTTAAAAATAAAATACTAAACCAATTATGGTGAATATTTGAGCTCCTGTTTGCCCAAGAATGAACTAAGCCTTGTGGGCAATACAAAAGAAAAATAAAATATGCATACTGTTTCTAGGTACTTTATAGTGTAGTTGAGATGAAATTAAGATTACATATGAAAGTAGTAACTATATAATGCCGGAATCCCAGAGACATTAATGGAACTTCTATTGTAGGGGAGGTTTCATTGAAGAAGGAGAAATCGATCTGTACTGTGGTGTCTTGGATTTGGGATAGCAGGAAGCAAAGAGAAAGACCTTTTACGTTGATGGGAATGTCTGAATAAAGGCATAGAGGCAGGCACTTGTTACTTCGTCATGTTGTTAAGGTGGAATCAGACTGCCTTTTGTTAACAGGAGGTGCTTCCTTGTGTTGTAGAGAGAATGCAGGAGAAAGTGGGGAGCTCGGGCAGCAAAGCAAACAGTACTGACTTGGTGTGATAGGAAGGAGGGTGCCTTTGTGGAAGTCTAGTGCTTAGCCGTCTTCTTCGTTACTTCTGTTTGACTTACTACGTGATCATTATCTGTTCTTCCAGTTTTATTATCATGTTGTCCATCAGCACAAAAAGAACAGTTTTGATCCAGATATTTCAAGCCAGTGGGTGTTCTGAAAATGCCACAGTGTAATGAGTAATCATTGATTTGTGAGTGTAGTTGTCCTCAAGTTAGTCATTTGAAATCCTCGTCTAAAATAGACAGATACTTTATGGGACAAATTTTGTGGGAGGTGGGTAGGCTTTGTTTTTCCAGATTTTGACTGTGTATACTTCCTTGGTATTTAAATGGTGAGTTATTTCTAAGCTTGTTAGATTATTTTTAAGGCTCTGATGACCACAAATGTTTTAGTTAAAATGTGCCAAAGTTGTTATCAAGAGTTACACAGAATCACCTTGTGGCCTATAAATATTTGGTAGATACCTCAGGAAGCCGAATGTGCTAATAAGCCTCAAAACAGAATAGTTGCATAATTGTAACCAGATGATTTAGTATTTTAGTAGTAATTAGACATGACAGTAAAAGTCTAGAAAACTATGTACATTTTAACTGTGTCTAATTTGAAGCAATTGAATACCTAGGCAATGTCTGCCTCCCCCACTGCTAGTTGCAACTCATTTATAGTTGTGTTGAACTGTGGAAATAGGTTCAATTTTGTATCCTGCAATGAGTAAATATCATAGTATTTTATATAGGGTAGCTTCTCCTTAAGAGCTGGATAATGGGGAGTACCCACTCTGTCGGTGAGAGTAGCCACTTAAACATGTGCTTAGACAGTGTTCCACACTGGAAGAGGCAGGCGTAGTCATCCTTTGATACTGTGGAGCAAAATAGGGTCCCTGAGCTTCAGGAGCCGATACTCAGGTGGCAGTCACCTGCTTATACAGATTCCACATCTGTGTGTTTGTATTTACATTGTTAGTTTTGATTTGTTTCAGTTAATTATTTAAAATTGACATATCTGAAACCTGTCATGGGAAGGACAGTTGCCAGAGGTTTGACAGAAATGTGGCTTCCATTCCCTTTGCCTAATGGGAAACATTTTGGTGTTTAAAATTAGTTATTTCCTTAATTAGGAAAATTTTTTTAGCACCATATTCTTGGCAGCACGTTCGGTTAAATTAGAAGGGATTTTGAAGTAAATATTCTTGGGGGAATCTTTAATTAGTGGGAGTTATAGAAAGTCCCTGCAGATCTTTTTATTATTAGAACCATGTGCTTTCGTTTTAAAAGATGACTTTTCTAGTCCTAAAAAGTGACTTATCCAACTCTTCATTTTAGGAGTGGCAAAACTGTTCCAGAAAGGTTAAATAATTTGTTTAAGGCCACACATTAAGTTATAAGAGAATTAGAGTAAGAGCTCAGATCCCAAATTCAGTGACTGGAACGTTTTCCCACTGCAACACTGACGCTCTCGTTCGTGCGTGAAGGTCACTGGCATGCACCTTACTTTGGCTTCCTTGCTGTGAACATTGATTTTTGTTCTCACACACTTCCAGGTTCCTTTTTATCAACAGTGTATACTCGTGAGACAGTTGGCTGAGGTCAGGGATATGGCCTATAGTTACAAACTCGAGTGAAGTTTATTGACTTGATGAGAATGAATCTTTTACTGAGTGTTCATTAGCACCATGTTCTCACAAAGAACTCCAACATCAAATTCTGCTTTCGCACCCTCCTTGTTATGTACTTAGGGTTTACAGAGTCCTTGCCAATTTACTGAAAGATCATGAAATAACCTGTTCTGAAGACTGAAAGTCCTTTTCTTCTTGTCAGTTATCTTTCCAAATGTAATTTTGCAGATATGTTTTTCAAGAACTATGCTAAGATGTTTTTATTCTACAATGCTAAAAATTATTTGGAAAAACAAATAATAATTAAGTCTGTAAGCATCATTTCTTTTCATTTTTTTGTTCATTCAGTTTTACTTACAAGAGGGAATTTTTCTTTAAATTTCTCTGTTTCTGAACTAGCTATTTTAACAGTGACTTGATTGAATTTTGAGTCATGTGTGAAACAAATCACTTGCCATCAAATAATTATCGGTTATAATTAGGAGAACTGATCTCATTTCATGTATGGTTCTTTGACCTAGAAGTAGTCATCTCGCTTTCAGCCAATTGGATCATTGTGTTGTTGTTAGCATTGTATTATTTTCTAATCACTTGAAAAGCTCACATTAACGGTAAATTTTCAGATGCTGTATGGTAATTTGCAAAATTAATATTTTTATCTTTTAATTTCTCTTTTCTAAATATAATTTCTGCTTTTAAAACATGGATTTGTCCTTTATTCCTTATAAAAAATCACATTTTCACTTCTGTAAATTTGGTTTTAATTTCTTCACAAGGTACTATTACTGTTAGCAGCATCTGAATTTATAAGGGGTCCAATTGGCTTGGAAAAGAATGGCTTTCCTGGTCTCTTTTTCCTTTTTGTATATTTATAACGCTAAATATATTCTCATATCTGACATAGTATTATTAAATGTAAGGATGTGTTTATAGAGTGTGAATACTTTCCAGGTACTTGATGACTTAATATTTTAAAATTCATACTTGTTTCACACCCAGATTCCAACCATTAAGCATGTATTTTATATATGTATCAGTATTCCAAATATTGAAGTCATTTTAAAGGGACTGTGAACAAATCTAGTCACCCGTAACTAGACCATGACTGACTTTTCCACAGGGGAAGAAGAGGTGAAGGTTTCGACCATGCCACTGTCAGCCTCTTCCCATTCATTACAACAAGGACAGCAGCCTACAAGTCTCCACACTACTGTGGCCTGACACCAGAACTGAGAGGAGAGGATTAGACTCTGGGGTGCTTGCATGGGCAACCGGATTTTTGCATGATTCCTTTCTGATTTTGCATTTAATGTATACACCCAAAAGAGCCAATATAAACGTTCCTCATGCCTACAACTAGTGTGTTACTTCATAGTTGCTAAAGTATTTCTTCACTAGGCGTTTAACACAATTTATGAGCATAATCATTTTGGCATTGTTTCTCATGAGTGATACTATTTTTAACTCACAAATAAACTTGTAGTACTAATTAAGATCCCAAATGAGATTAGCTAGAATTGTTCTTATTTTGGCTCTATTATTGAAAATATACAAAGATAATGGTAGTTCCTTGTTTTCTGATTTGTGAAAAAAAATGGTAATATCCTACTATAATCATGAAAAATTTGAAAATTAAGAAAGTAATGTGTGTTGCATTCTTTGAATACTTAAGAAAGAATACATATAAGACAAAATTGGTGGTGTCGTTTAATGGTCAGCAGGATGTTGTCAGCAATTGTTTTTAGTTGTATGGATTTATATCCTATATTATGCATTACATGTGTAGAACCTGTTTTTGTTCTCTCATTTGCACATTTGCACTTTCTTTTTGAATGGTTGTTAATTATGTATAGACGGTTAAAAATAATCATTATAGACTAAATGCAATATAATCTCTTTTCTAATGCACTGCCTAGTATACCAGGAAATGCCTCAGAAACAGAATTTCAACCTAAGTTGATTTATCAGAAACTTGAATATGGGGTAAATATTGTATGTGAAAAGCAACCATGGTAGTGTAACATTTTTCTTTGAACAAAAGGTACTTCTGTGAGATATCTGTTTGGAAATTTCATTGTTTAATCATTGAAATGTGATAATAAAACCATATTACAAGTACCTGACCAGAATGGGACTAAGGTGGAAGAGAAGAGGTTGGGGATCCTCTAAACTTAGGCCACGTAAGTTGTCACAGATAATCTTAAATTAATCCCAGAACAGAATGGAGTGCTTTATTAGGACATAATGTGACGTGATATTTTGGGGTAACGACTTTTTGAAATATGTTTAAAACTGATGACGAAAGACAGTAAGCTGAATTCAGAGCTGAGCAGTGGACAGAAAGCCGGTTCAGAAAACATGGCCTGAACTACGCACCTGGCAAGAAGGGGGAAGTCACAGCTGCTCTTGGGTTTCCACAAAACTATTGTGACTTAACAGATTTGCCTCCATTTGTTAAAAATATTAAAAGGGTAATGTGAATACTGAAAAAGGAAGCATTGAGGTTTAAAATAAATAATGAAACACCTAATGAGGAGATGATACATAACATCATGTTGGAGTTGGAGTTCTCGAGGGCGCCTCTGTCCATAAAATCTGATTACTCTCCGTTAGACATAATACCAGTTAAATGGCTTTGTCCTGAGTTATAGTGGGGTAAACTAAAATCTCTTCTTAGGTATCCTTTGATTTGGTTAACTGAGGCTATAGAAGGACCTACTTTTCTAGCTATTTAAATTATTTTAGTGAAATTCTGCATAAATGACAATCTCTAAGTTTGCAAGTCATTTTAGGGCAGCATTACAAGAAATTGAGAAAATACAAATGAAATATTGTCAACTTACTAGCAGCCTTTTATCATGGCTTCATGATGGTTTTCTTTTTGCTGTAAGACATTCACTTAAATGTACCCCATGATGCTGAGGCCCTGGGCTTTGTGAACAGACTTGAGCTCCCGGAGCTGAGTGGAGCATTGCTTCCTCCAGCCATCAGTGCAAGCCTTTCATCTCCTGGATCTTCTTACAAAGACATGAGAGGTGGTTAGCTCCTATTTACTTACTTCTCTGTGCTGAGAGATCCACCTGTGAAACAAGAGTTCTTTCCTGTGGTAGCTTTCTCTCTCCTTTCTCATTCCCATCCAGTGCCAAAAAACTGTCAGGTCTTTTGCCCAGACTTGCTGGAACCCATAAGTGTTTCCCTGTCTCCTTCTCCTCCCTCCCCACTTCCGCACACACCGTATGTCAGGACAGTGCTTCTAAAGCCACTGGGCTTCGATTTACATATTTTCACGTAGAAAGCTAAAGATTATCCTTTACCTATCTTTGTAATTTGAAATCTTACAGGCTGAAGAAAAACAAGCATCACTCTCTTGCTTACTTAATATTTCATATAGTATGGTTTTTAAAAAGATTTTGTTTATTTATTTTTAGAAAGAGGACAGGGAGGGAAAAAAACATCAATGTGATCAGTTGCCTCATGCACACGCCCCAACCAGACACCAGCTCACCACCCAGGCATGTGCCCTGACTATGAATCGAACCGGTGACCTTTTGCCTTTCGGGACAACGCCCAGCCAACTGAACCACACCAGTCAGGGCTGGAATGTTTTTTTAATAAAGTGAAGTCTTAAAATCATAGTCATAATTAAGTGAACCAAAGCACAGAAGAAAGTATACGGCACATAGAGTATCACTTTACATAGCAAGTAGATCGATGAAACCAAATGATGGTAAAGAATGAGAAATTGTAAAAAAAAAAAAATCTTCAAATTAGTTTTGATGAATTACTGCATCACTGATCTGTCATATACAAGGGAGATTTTGTATGCTTTTACCTACTTAACCTGGTTTTTTTAAAGATTGTATTATTTTTAGAGAGAAGGGAAGGGAGGGAGAAAGAGAGGGAAAGAAACATTGATGTGAGAGAGAGAAAAAATATCAACCTGTTGCCTCTCACACAGCCCCAACCAGGTGCCTGGCCCACAACCCAGGCCTGTGCCTTGACCAGGAACTAAACTGGCAACCTTCCAGTTTGCTGGATGATGCTCAACCCACTGAGCCACATCAGTCAGGGACTCACTTAACCTTTAAAAGGTGACTAGTTTGTTCCTTGAATCAAGAATTGTACCTGGAGTCCAGAAGTCTTCGGATGTACTTGCAAAATTATGAGCTTGTGTGTATGTACATCCGTCCCTTTGTGTCTTGGGAGAAGATGCATAGTTAGTAGATTCACAAAGGATTTGGTGACACCCTCAAGGAAAAACTAGGAACTTCTGCCCCAAAATGTTCTCAATGCCACTGGAGGAAATTGGCACCTAGACTGAAGGATTTTAATCATATGATGAATATCAAATGCCTGTTCACTTTCTTAAAGATTCCATTAGAAAATGTTTTCTGATTGATAATTTTCATTCTCCTATTGCATTTTGTTTTCCAGGTGCTTTCCTATACTCTCCCCTTAGTTCAACAAAGCATTAATTAAACATTCAAGTGCCTATTCCGTGTAGTGACTTGAGCTAGAGCTTGATGGATACAAGGTTGTGTTAAGTTCAGCCCCTATGGTCAAGGGTAACAGTCCAGTAACAGTTTGATTTCATGTTATTTCCGTGAGGTCAGCTCTTGCTGTATTTTAACCACAAGGATGGCCATTGCAGTCCAGACTCATTTCATCATTTATTGCTCTGACAGTGGCAACAGAGGGTATTAAATACTGATACTTGAAATTCTTAAATATAAAATTTGGCAGGAGTGAAAGACACAGAGCAGGCATCCTTTATTATTCTAATTTAAGTATTTTACAGGATGCGTGTGTGCACGTCTGCCACTCTTAGTAGCATCCTGCAAACTTATGTAGAGCTTTCTATATATGTGTTCTTTTAAAGAACACAACTTGAAAGCATTGTATATGTGCACATATCTACTGACATGGCCCCTCTTTGCACGGCATTCCGAGCACCTTCGAGACTACCGGAGCTCCCTGCGGTCACATGGGTTTATAGGGAGCCCCTCCCCAGGGGCACTGCCTCGGAAAGACCAGAGAAAGGATAAAACTGCAGGGGCATTGAAATCTTACGAAATTAAGACCCCATGTTACTTATGCATACATAAAAAACAGGGGACATTTTTTCCTGTGTTGAGGGATTTTTGGGATTTTTGTGTTTATTTGATCATGAAGCTTCCTCAAATCTGCTGAATTGGCTGTAAGAGAGTCAACTGTATCATACAATTGAAAACAGTATTTTACAAAAATTATAAAGAGGTGAAAACCCAACACATGATACAGTATATGTCTTTTTCTACAAAACATGACCCAAGTCAGTTATCTAGTGTCGAGCTAGTCCTTCAGTTCTTAGGGCTGTGTCTCTCTCTCCTCAGCCTTCTGATCGGAATGAGTACCTAACACATTGTCTCCTTGTGCTACGGCAGTAACATACACAGGCGTTGCACATGAAATGACAGGATTTGTATCGCATGGTGTCCAGTGGTTCACTAGACATTTATTGTGAGCCAGTTCAAGGACAGGCTTCATAAAAAGTGTGGTGTTTTGTTTTGGTTTTTTTTTATTTGAAGGTTGCTTGAAATTTAGATGAGGAAAGAGGGAAATACAGTAACGAGAACAGATTGAACAAAGAATTAGAGATCGAGATTAGCACAGTCTGAGGGGGTCAGGAGGGAAGGACAGATTGCAGCTGGACTCGTCTGAGGTATACAGGTCGTATAGGAAGATGCCATGAGTGTTCAAAACCCTTGAATGCTAAGAAGAGTTGAGTCTCGATGTGGATGTGGCCCATGGTAGAGAACTGTAGTTTCTTTGATAAAGATGATTGTAGCATTTTAAGAAGGTGAATTTGGTGATATCTTTGCTTGAAATGAAGCTGATTAGAAAGCAGTTGCAGTGTGTCATCACTGGCCAGGATAAATTATGTGGCTTGGACTGGAAAGGTGATAGGAATGGAGAAGAAATGATGAGTTAGAAGTCAGAAAGATCCTGGGGAAAAAAAACCTTTGGGTTTGCTTAAGTCTCTAGTGATCTTTAAAAGTGAATTTCAAAAGAAACTGATAGAAACCAGATTCCTTGGCTTCACAAGGCAATGTCAAGGACTTGGGCGCAGCAGCCACAGAGCAGTTCCAGATTTGGCGACAGCGGGGAGGAGCCAGACAAGATGATGGTTAGATGGGCGGTAGACCTAGAAGGCAGTACCTGAAGATATGAGAGGAAGACACTGCTGAGAGAGGGTGGGGTTCTGTAGGTGCTTGGGAAGAGGCGAGCCTTCCAGAGGAGATGAGGTCACTATTTAGCTTTCAGCAGCGGGAGGTACCTTCCACTGTTACTTGGAGGCCCAATCAGAGAATTTAGGAGAGAGAGTAGAATGTGAGAATTGAGAACATGAGATTACAGGAAGGGGCCCTTCTCAGCTGTTATCAAAGGCATGCTGTGTGGAATGGGGGGCAAGAGAGTGGAGCTGGGGGCCGGCAAACAAAGGAGACTGAATTCATCTGTGAGAATAGGCCTAGGAGGGCATCAGAAAGGAATTCAAGAATTGCTGAGTAAAGATAAGGATCAGATTTAACATTTTTAGAGTCTAGATGTGTATGATTTTGCATTTCCTTGGGTTCGGCACAAAGCAGGAGGAGTGGACAAAGCAAACACTGAGAGTTTGGTTAGAAGGCGAAGAAGAGAAGGACAAAAGGTACTCACGACGATAACATCAAAATACCTAAGCTTGTCTAGAAGATTCCACTAAGGCAGGAAAGAACTAGTGGTGTCGGTGTGTTGAAGAGAGTTCAGTGATTATAGATTTCGTAAGGACAAAGAACAGGTCTAGTCCTGTTAAGCAAATGACAGGTTAAGGGACCACTGCTGAATGATGATGAGTGTGAGCCAGAAAAAGGATGAGAGTTACCTTAACTTTAGGGCCAGAGGTTGGAAAGGAGGCTGGCTTTCGTAAGCCCTACAGTTTCCTCTCTCCCTGCTTTCCTTCCAGTCCTTTCCTGAGAGTGGGAATTGAGACTCGATGAACGAGAACCAGGGAAAGGATGGTATTGCCTGGGGACTCCTGGGGCGGGTTTCCTGTAAATTGATCATCCAACCGAAATCTCCATGCAATGGAATTAACGTTCCTTTCTCAAAGTACAATGGGAGGACGTGGAAGCAGAGTGAAGGGGGAGCCCTGAGAAAAGCCAGAGATGAGATTGAGCAGGTGGCGGTAAACCCAAAGAGTGTGAGGGATTGGCCGACGTGTTACCTAGGATGTGAAGGATTCAGACAGAGCGGGTGCAGCGTATCATGAGTCTCATGGTTGAGGAGCCCACACTACAGGTGTGAGCTACTTTCTGCCACACTCGCATACAAACTGGAAAGAAGCAACTTTCCTTCTGCATAGGGAAAGTGTCTTTTATAGCAAGTCATGTTACAAAAATATTTTAACAGTTTTCCCCTAAAGAGAATGTGCTGTTTGAATAGATACGTACCTGCAAGTTGATATACTAATCTCTTGGTACTTACATTTTTGTATTCTTAGATATGACCTTTAGGGAAAATTGCTAAAGATGTAGTGGAACAGGGATGGAGATAGAAAGATATAGAACATATGTTTCCTCCTTATTCGATTAAGAGCAAAAGTACCTCGTTTCCAGTACACGAGAATATTTTACATGCACTGGACTTGTTTCATATACGTGAGCTGAGAGATCACGTAGGACATTTAACAATGACAATGCTTCGAAGTACGAGACACTGATGAAGAATACTGTGTGTGGAACCGTGCCAAAGGATGGAGAGCCACCGCTCCTTGGACCTCCTTGCTGCCCTGGGATTGGCTGCCATTAGTGTTACAGTGCTGGGCGCTCCTGCCTACAGCTACTCTAATCAGGAGCTTTTCCTAGAGAATCGCTCTTGAGAAGTCAAGTTTCATTAAGGAGAATCTACTCTGCTCCACAGAGTTTTCAGGCACCTTCCCTGGGTTTGAGTTACACGGAAATCGGGTTCACGCCTGTTGGGTTGGTTCCTGGAACCGAGGGCAATCTGAGCTGCTTGACAATCGGACCGAAGTACCTAGAAGTTCCATGAAGCCCCTGGAAATTGTTGAACCAATCCTTTTTCCCTCCTACTGTACTGCCTAAGGTAGCTATTGACCTGACTTCGTTTTTAGCCCACTTCACTATCTGTGCGGAGAGAGCCACTTCACAGACTAGCCAGTTACAGCTATTCTGAAGGTTCCTGGAAGCTCCACGTTGACCCAGGAACACACGGTCCTCGGAACAGTTACGTTGTTTGGTTCTGGGACCCACTGTTGTACTCAGTTCCAAAGCAGACCCCCACCAGTATAACTTGTAAAGCTTTTAAAGCACCCCATACTGTAAAAAAAATTGAGGTGAAATTCACATAGCGTAGCATTAACTACTTGAAAGTGTACAATTCACTGGCCCATACTGTTCTTTAACTATCTAAGTGTTCAACTAGCACAACAAAGAACCCACCCGCTCCAGCCCTTGAGAATTCAGGCCCGTTTCTTGTTGGGGCTGAGTGGCGGCGGCTGCACCGGGACCCAGTGCTTCACCCGAAGACTGAAAGGCAGGTCTTACACCTTAAAGGACCCGCATTTCACGGTGGTGCTCATGTTGTACGTCAAGCAACCCTGATGCCCGGCTCTGTCCCAGAAGGTGGCGTGGGCCAAGAGCACAAGGAGTTGTAGGCAAGAGGCCTTGCGATACTTTCAGATTTTCCTGAGTAGGTGAAAATGTTTGAAACTACCATCAGAATAATTTTGAAATGGCAATAATGGTCTTTCTGTCTTTGTGACATTTGATTAGCGTTACATAAGAAAAGGTTTGTTCAGTGAAGTAAAAGGGTAAGCCTAGCTCTGAGTATGAGGTTGTGTGTGTGTGTGTGTGTGTGTGTGTGTGTGTGTGTGTACACACACACCTATTTTCAATTAAATCCTCCACCTGGTGGGTGTACCGGAGAAAAAAGGGTCAGGCCATCTCAATGGCTTTTCATGTCTTTATTCCTGCTGTGTTCTGATTAATTTATATGTTCAGGATAAATGCTGCATTTATATTCTGTCTTTCTCTAAATATTTCTTAAAGAAATAGAGGCCCTATTTAAATGCAGCGAGGTTATAATAGTTATACCATCTCATCCCTGGTCATGTTTTTCCTAAACACATATTTTCATAGCTTTTTCTCATCAAATTCCACTCCCATTACTAAGGATACTCGTCTCATGTCACACTCTTCTGGAAAACCTAAGGACAGGATAAGAAAAAACAAGGTTTGTCTTAGAATCATGAAATTTCAGAGCTATGAAGCCTGTAACACAGTCTCTAACAATCCTCCTTTTAAAGACCCAGTAATACCTATAATAAACAAGACTCGGAAGGACTGTGATGGGCTCATAATCACAATCCATCTTCTGAGTTTGCTTTCATTCATGCAACTCAAGGAGAAAAACAGCTTCCAAGATTCAAAACATCTCTTTCCTCTAAATTTTGTTATCTCACAGTTGTATTAGCTCTTGCAAGCCCAGGGCTTCCAGCTGTGAACATCGGTGCAGAGTGTCCATCTCTCAGCCGGTCTTATCCCAGGTCCTGTGAGTTACCCAAACAGCATTGTGTTCAGTGTGGGCCAGTGACTTGGGAGCAACGTTAGCAGGGGGCAAATGTAACCTTGGGGTACTCTTAACACAGACTTAAAATAATTACCAGTGTCGGAACTCAAATAAAGAGTAAAACAGGTGGAATTAAGTTTACCCAGAATTTTTCTGCAATGCCAAAAAGTGTTTAAACTTCTTTTAAAACTAGTTTTGAACTAACACACATGACCCTAGACTGGGGACACCTCTCGTTTAAAAGTCTGGTATTAATGGCACCAAGATGCGCTACACCCACATGAAAGGCATGAACGCAAATTCATCTTTGAAGAGCTCCTGTATGCTACACCATGTAAAATGAGAGCATATCTGCAGATTTTTTTTTTAACCAAGGAGGTTGTTTTCAGCATATGAAACAGGGAAAGTGCCACAAGAATTTTAAAGATGATACCATCACCATGTCCAAGAACAAATGCAGGAAAGCTGACCGCAATCAACCTCAGTAGCCTAGCGCCATTTCCTGATAGGTGAGGTCCTGTCCCAAAGACTGTGCTAAGTGTTCACGCTGCTAACAGCCCTGCATCCCAAAGGGATGTGTCTGGGAGCAGAACTTAGCAATCTGCAGCATTACGGGGATGTTTCTGAACATTGTTATTGTACATGTTAGTATTTGCAAGACTGACATTCTGAAGCTGTTTATTATTTTTTTTTCTTAATTGCATCTTTAATGAGTATCCAGCTAAAGGTAAAGGAGGCCCTGGGTTATGACTTCATCGACCAAGTAGCAGGGTTTCTTATTGGCTTCAAGCTGAGTGCTGGGCTACAGACTATTGTTCTACTTATGTTTTTATGAAAATATATGATTATGGCTTACTGATATGTACCCTGTCCCCTCACCTCCCATTTAGGGTGAGATTTGGTACCAGGTATGTTTGGTTTTACTCCTGAACTGTTAACATTCACCATTAGCCTAGCCGTGGTCTTGCCTAGTCCCAGATAGGTAGGTATAAACCTGTCTTGCTTGAATGTCAGTGTGGTCTGTGCTGCTAGGTGTACATGCCCAGCACCTCACCTGTATTTTAAATGGTAGGTGGCTGAAATGAAGCCTGTTACTGAAATGCACATTTGATCTCCAAATACTTAACACACAGCCGTGCAACCTTTGTTTTGAAACCTGCCTTCAGGTTTTCATTCTTGACCCCCCTGAGCCTTATTCTGTGTAACTTAGCACAGTGAGAGGGGGTGGTCTCAACTAGGTCTTAATGTGCATTACCCGTGTGATTCCCCCACGGGGTCCCGGGCAGGCCTGAGCTGATCCTCTTCGAAGGAGAGGGCTCTGTCCTTATGGGGCTGCCCAGTTACCTCCCCAGTAATCAGTCTGCTACCCTTCCAGACTGGCTTTGACTTTAAGTGATCTTATTCTCTCCTCTTTCTTTTAATTCAGAACAACACGTTTGTTTAAACAGAAAGCATAGCCTGGGTTTGGGAGTAGATTGAGTACCAACCATGCACTGTTAAATGCCAAATTGATAAAGATTTGTGATACTGTAAGACTGTCATTATTCACTTTCCCCAACTTCTAAGTTTTTCTAGCTCTTTTAAAAATCATTTAATGCTGCCCTGGCTGGCGTGGCTCAGTGGAGTGAGTGCAGACCTACAAACCAAAGGTTTGCCAGTTCTATTCCCAATCAGGGAACATGGCGGGCTGCTTTCGGGCCAGGTCCCCAGTTCGGGGCACTCAAGAGGCAACCACACATCAATGTTTCTTTTCCTTCTTCCCTTCTGCTCTCTCTAAAAATAAATAAAATCTTTAAAAAGAAAAATAAACAAATAAAAATCACGTAATTCTTCTAGGCAATATGACTAAAATTCAGTGTTTACCAGTATGTGTAATTTTTTAATAGAATTCATTTTTTCACTAAAATATTAGTTCTCTTTCAGTGTAAAGCTCCAGGATATAGTTAAGTGAGAAATGTAGTTTCTAGTCTATATTTGAGAGTGTACTCATCTGATCTTCCCTCTTTCCTTCCTGCACAGTAAGACTCAACGCTTAATTGAGAATTGATTCTGTCAAAACTATTTCTGGAAATTTTTTCCAAATTCAGCTGTAATAAATCATAGCTAAAGATGAACATTTAAATAAATATAAATTATTTTTAAGTCTCCTGGTGGACCGGTGGTGAGCATTTAAGTCTTTGAATGCATCAGTGATACTAGTATTACTTCTTTGAAAATCAAGACATTGTTTGAAAGTTAGAAGCAAAAAGGTTTTTTTTTCCCCCAACATGTGACTAAGTAGTAAGGAGGAGAAAGAATAAAATACTCTTGTGTTTTTTTAATCATACATTACATAGATAAAATAGTTAAATTCAAAGCATAAAGCTTGTTTTGAAAGTCAAATGTGTATAAAGCAATCTCAAAACTTAACAGCTGTGTCTTGGTTCGGATAAACAGTACAATGAGGAAGAACAAGATACGTGCCTGGTCTGTCGGGCGGAAGTGCCCATCCCTGCGCCGGTACCGTATCTGCTTCATTTGGTTTAATGTCAAATAATGAGGAAGCGACTTCAGGTTTTGCAGTAAGTTTTTGAAATTAATAAATAAAGCAAATTATTGTTTTAATGCCCCAAAATACTTTCTGAAAATGAAGCTTATTAGCTTTGTTCTGAAGAATCTGTTAATTAAAATGTTTCAGAGCATGAATAATTGTAGCCTTCTTTTGGGGGGATTTTTGTAACTGATTGAAACCCTTAAGATAGGAGCCATCTTTCCAGGAAAAAAAAAAAAAAAAGACGAGACTAATCTTCACTTTTGAAATAAAAGTGAATTGTGTGATCTAATGGAATAAAACACTGGGTTTGGTGTTTTTAATAACTTTTAGAAAATTAGGAACATCAGAAATCTTAGGAATTTCATTAGACACATAGCCATCATTGGCAAAATACTTTGGTCTGACTACAAGCATGAAGAGGAATTTTTCCCCCATAAAAATAATTTATTGACACTAACCGATGAAAAACCATCACTGACTTTGCTCAGAATGGCCAACCTCCAGTGATCCACTAAAGAGATACAAAAACAAAGCGGACCAGCATGACTTTTAGGAGACTGCTGTACCATATTGCAACATCGAGCTCCAGAGAAAATGATACCGGGTAGGCAGTAAATCTTCATGGAATGAAAACTAATGGTCGAGAGAGTCATGTTAGTGTCTGATTGCTTCTGGAGGCCCGCGAAGCCTGGATCTGCTTTGCATTACATCTGGACCTTTGGAAGCTCTTAATCTGATTCATTTGGACATGAGTTATAAGTCACCTCCTGCTTATACTGTGGTGCTCAGCGTTAAGGCTCCTCTCGCCACTCCGTGATCAGTCCTGTCCCTCTGTCTTCATCACCTCGGGGCTCTGGCGTCCTCCACTCCTGACTGTTCCTTACATCCCCAGGACCACCCCCACCCCGCCAGCCACACGCAGACTTTTAAAAATTTACCCAGTAACACCTTTCTTAACATCGGTTTCTCGTTGATGATACAAATTAACCTCAGTCTTCCTTTGTGTGTGTGTATATATGTGTATATACACATATATACATATATGTATACACATGTACACACACTCATATGGAAATTGTACAATAAATAATACAAAAATAAACCCTGTTTTGCATACTCACAACTAAACCCACTTTTACCATACACACAGTTGAGAAGGTCTCTATATAAAATGCCTCTCCTTCCAGAACTCTTTAATTTTACTTTTTAATTACAGTTTACATTCAATATTATTTTGTATTAGTTTCAGGTGTGCAGCACAGTGATGATTACACAATCCTACGCTTTACACAGTTTTCCTCCTGTTTTTTCTGGTGCTCACCTGGCCCCATACATAGTCATTACAATGTTATTGACTGTATTCCCTGTGCTGTACTTTATAGCCCTGTGACTAGTTTGTCACTACCAATCTACTTCTTAATAGTAGAGGGATTCTTTAGGGCAACTTGTAACTGATAAAGAACTTTTTCTCTTGGTTAAACCATTTTTTCCCCATTTACAGTTCTGGTTAAATAGGTGAAAGCAGTTAACTACTTGTCTAGTAACTTCTAGATGTCTATGAAACATCCTTAGTCCTTTTCAGCCACTTGACACTTCACATGGTTTATAGTTCCCTCTGTAGTTCAGTCCTCTACACAGACATTTGCGTGGCAGTGAGTGCCTTTCAAAATATGAGGCTCACACTTCAATAATCCAGCTATGATTCGATAATCTACTTTTTAATTAAAACCATTATTACTAATATCTGTATATTCCTTTCGGTTTACAGAGTTCTCTTATAAAAATATTTTGTGGGGTAGGTATTATCCTCATTTTGTAAATGAGGAAACTGAGGCTCCGAGTGTTTATCATTTGTGATCTGCCAGTGGCATAAAATTTTTAATTTAGACATTGTACATCTATCTATTTATCTGGTCCTAATGTTACCCTTTTAAAAGTTCCCTTACCCAGTTGCCATATTAAATATAGTTATGGTCTCACAAGCTAGATCTTTCTTCATACACATGACTAGTTAGATTCTTCATCCTGCACTTCTCTGTAGTACTTCCCTGTACTGCTCAGATTTTTAAAATCTGAATGTCTTTCTGTTAATTTTCACGTTCGAATTTGGTGTAGAGTGTACCCTGTTTGTATATCACCATCTTACAAGTTTGTCTTTTGAAAGAACTGTGTGATTGTAAAGTGATAGATAAATGTTATTACTAATAACATTTGTACGGAAGCTTTAAATTGAAGAATAGTTGAAATTTTAATTACAGATCTTGTCATCTCTAGAATTGGCTTTTATTTGTGTATTGAAATTAACTTTGTGGGTTTTTTAAAGCATAATAAAAAGCATGGAGTCCAAAGATCTGCCAAGCAGACACTTTTAGGCTCACACAAGGTCCCTTAAGTTCTGTGCGGCTCCTCTTATACACGGCTGTTACCCCTGCCATACCCGACCATCCCACCCCGAAAAGTTACCATCAGAAATCTTACCGGAAACTGCCAAATTCAGGATATATTTATGACATCCTAGAACCCTACTCAGAGAATAAATTACTTTGGTATGATTGGTTCTTAAAAAATTCTTTTTATTCTAGAGCGAAGGGAAGAGAGAGAGAAAGGGAGGGAGAGAAACATCAATCCATTGCCTCTAGCACATGCCCTAACTGCGGACCAAACCTCCTCAACCCAGGCATGTGTCCTGACCAGGAGTTGAACCCACAACCTTTTGGTTTGTGGGATGATGTCCAGCCAACTGGGCCACATCAGCGGGAAACAGTATAGTTGGTTCTTTATGGATATGCCTCTGGCCCCCATTGGTTACTCTGTTGCTTTTGTTTTGTGGAATTTATGTGTCGGTGGGGTGGGAATGGAGCTAGCTGGTTTGGGCAGGCAAGAGAAGAGGAAAGGAGAAGGGACCGTGGAGTACAGAAGGAGGACATTTCCAAATGAAACAATTGTCAGTAGGCCCCGCCTCCATGACTCCTTGCGCCAACTTCAAAATTGGAAGTGGAACTTCCTGTGCGTTCCAGGTAGAAGGGAACTGAGACTCAAGTCAAAATGCTACGTAGCATTTCCAATGAAAATTCCCCCAAACACAAGCAAGAGAGCAGTGCTTGCTTAAACCTACTGTTACTCATTTAAAAAGAAATTACCTGGTTTTTAATCTCAGAATTTCTCCAAGAACTAGTTTCGAGCATGTAACTTCTAGAGTCTGCTGTTTCCTGTTTTATCTGGCACTTCTCTTGACAGTGGTTTCGTGATCCTATCTGAGGACTAAAATCATTTTGCACCTAGAGACTTTAAACTTACTGACATGAAGTAGATGTGTGTGTGTGTGCATGCGTGTGCGCACACGCTGCATCTCTGCCCACAGTTCTGCACATGGTTTCATCGGTCCTTTCTGGTTTGAAGGTTGCGCGCTCTCTCCTGAAGAAGGGGGAAGGAAGCAAAATGAAGGTGGAACTACATAGCTTTGTCTTCTCTTGGGGCTTAACATCGTGATACCACGCTGAGTGGTGACTCTTCCTAATTTTCTCCTATTTGAATTTAGCGTTCTCTTTCCATCAGCATTTTCCCCGTGCTTCAATCATTATGGATTCTGATTTTAATCCTCAAGGATTATGATACTGTTACACAGGTAGGTTACATATCTCCATCCATCGTTCCTAAGCTTTTCGAGTCGAATTCCGTGAGATTCTCCCTGTTCAGTAACTGGTTTCTGCGGATTTCCTCCAGTTTCTTTTCCTTACTAGAATTGTGTATCATTGCGTAGTCAGAATGTCATATTTTAGCATCTTTTGAGATCTGTGAAGCACTGTGCTGTGGGACCACGGCCATTTTTTTTTTTTTTTTTTACCTTTCTTGGAAAGTTGTCTCAAAACACGTGGAAGCACATGCCCAGTGCTATTCATTTAGGAAACAAATACCTCTTCAGGTTCAGCTCAGGAACTGTTCATTGTATATGAAGACAATGAAATCAAGGCCCCTTTCCTGAATGAGCTCACAGTCTAGTAGGAAAAATGCCTAACACATAAACAGGTGATGGCAATTCACTGTGGTAACTGCAAAACTAGCCAGCATGCCTGCCATCCAAGAACTCAGTTCTCATTATTCTCATTCTTCGTTTCTCTAAATCCTAAAGGTATGTCACATATTTTTAGGGCCGCTGTCTGCCATAGGCAACTAGTTCTTTGTTGGTCACGAGTCCAGAATACAAAGTTTTCTTCTGTTTTCACCTTGAGAAAGTGAGCTGGTCAGGGAGTGAATGTTACTGGGTTTATTTTCTTCTAGCAGATTTAGACCTTAGATGTCAGGGGGATGTGATAGCCTTTGTGTCTCTGCAGCTGTTGTTTGTCTGGGTGATGTAAGACAAGTACGTCAGGGTCCCCTCCTGGGCCCTAATCTCCCCTGCTCATCAAAAGAGGTCCCCACCGAGGAGGAGTCGGTGCTCAGCTGTGTGCTTACTCAAAAGCCATACTCAAAGTGTCCAGCCTCAGACTGCATACGTTTCTTAGATTGGACTTTAGCACACATCTGTCAGCTCTGTTGCTTGTATATTCTGGTTAAGGTTCCATCTCATCCAGGTTATAACGCTTCTAGAATGTATGTATCTTTTGCAGTAAATTTTAAGTTGACTTTTTTTCTCATTCCATGTATAGCTTTATATAGGGACATTTTTCATGGTTTTCTTTTTAAAAATACATTCCGCTTCCTTACATCTTTCATAAAGCAAACATCTGGATGTTTTCATGGTTTCCGTTAGATGATCTGATTCTCCCCTGAAACAAAATTATAGATCTTATAGGAACAGTACACATTGTGTAAAACACATCTCCTTATCTTTCAAAATGTTTCTGTTTTGCGATCAGCTGCTTCTGCTTCTCCCTTCTGTATGGGATGCCTCTCCTACTTCCATTTCAGCTTCTCTTCCCCGAGCTTCTCCGGTCCCCGATTATCCCACACAGAAGGTGGCAGAAGTGTTCACTTTTTCCTTATGCCCCTTCATACAGCATAGCGCTGATTATCACACAGCGTGGTTGTTTGAACATGCCTGCCCTCCCCTGATCTTGGCCCAGGAGGCCTGCCAGGACAAGGACCAGTTGGTGAGTGTGCTTGGTGGTAGGAAGAAACATTGGTGTCAGACTGGGTCAGATTACTGACTTGGACACTTTTCAGCCCTGTAACCCAGGGCCAATTCTTTAAGCTTCCAGAGCGACTCAGGCCCCTCATTTGTCAAATGTAGCCGATGCTTAGCTTATGAGATCGTTGGTGCTAAAGTAATCGAGGAAATAAAGTGCATAGTGAGTGAGTGAATAGTGCCTGAAGTAGAAAGATGATAGAATAGTCAGTAGGTCTGTTTGCTATCTTGAATACATAATATGAGAATATCTTCTTAAAATTTTTATAAGATTTTATTTATTTATTTTTAGAGGGGAAGGGAAGGAGGAAGAGAAACATCAATGTGTGGTCGCCTCTTGCACATCTCCTACTGGGGACCTGGCCCACAACCCAGGCATGTGCCCTGACTGGGATCGAACCAGTGACCCCTTGGTTCACAGGCTGGCACTCAGTCCACTGAGCCACACCCACCAGGGCCAGGATATCTTTTTAAAAATATATATATTATTTAATAATGTTGGTGCGTTGGATTTTTTAAATTATATTGCCTGTGTTTTGACATCTCAAGAACTGTTAAGAATGTATCATTTGAGTTTTGGCCAAATGAACAGAAATTCCTTCAGTTTTCATGCAGAGAAGCCCTTTAGATGCTGAAACTCAGCTGACTGTTCCTTTCAGAAAGAATTGCATCTCTTTGGAGAGAACTGTTTGATTCATAGCATGATTAAGGTATGAATTAAACAGGCTTTGGGGGCAAAGTGATTTGCCAGCTCCTCAAGTTGGACCTTTGCTTCCGCTGGCACGTGGACACATGTCGATTTCTAAGATGCCCAGCCACCGGCTGACCTTTCGAGGGGTGAGGGAGAAGAGACGAGTCGCATGTCAGCGAAGCAGTAACCGCGGCAGATGTCGCAGCCTCGTCTGCTGCCAAATGAGTGTGGTTCAGACCATCCGAAGTGCTGTCATCTGGGATGATGGAAGGGAAAAGACAGACTTCTGGAAAACGGAGTAAAAATCCATTGACGAGATCGGGACAGCGTTCTAGACAGGGAGAAAGGAAGTGAAGACAGGGTAGAAAGCACAAGTCATAGCTGACCCTCAGGCCTCTTTTTTCTTGTTTATGTCTTTTCTGCTTCCTTCTAGTGGGAATAAGATTTACATGTTTTTTTGTTATACTTTGTTCAGTTCTGCAGTTCTCGGAATTTTCTTTTATTTGAGTGAGTTCTAAGAATTTTTCACTTCGTCTAATCTCTACTTTCAAGTCTTTTAAACCCTTCCGCAAATCTGCTCTGAACTACTCGTCTGTCTTGCTTAAAAATAAACATAATTCTGGAAATTTGAGTGTCAACTCTGTTTAAGTAGAATAACATTTTTCATAAACAGTCTGATTTTATAAGTCTGTTTGAAAGACTTCATTCACATAGTAGTCATTTTTCCTAACACTTTTAGTTCAATTGAAATGATTTTTTTGAGTATGGCATAAGTGTATCATGAAGACTTTCTTTTAAGTTCTCTGATAAAACTTTTCTGAGCTCTATAAAGTTGAGTTTGAGCCCTGGCTGGTGTGGCTCAGTGGACTGAGCGCTGGCCCGCGAACGAACCAAGGGGTTGCCGGTTCCATTCCCAGTTGGGGCACACGGCTGGGTTGTGGGCCAGGTCAGGTCCCCAGTGGGAGGCACACAAGAAACAGCCACACATTGACATTTCTCTCCCTCCCCTCCCCTCAGTCTAAAATAAATAAATACAATCTTTTTTCAAAAAAAAGTTGAGTTTGACATATAGCACAAGTGTAATTTCTATTTGAATTACTGAAAGTATGTTTTTGGAATTTGAGAAAGTTCAGGTTTTCTTAAAGCCATTTATTTACTGATGGAGATGGCCTCCAGCCCCAAACTGATAGGAAATAGTATATAGCGGCAGGGTGGGGGGTTACAGAAGGGCACCGTGGCTGACAGAGGCTCTGTCCTGTGTCCTCCTAAAAGTCAGCCACTGTACTCCTTCTGAAGTAGTTGGACGAGTCTAGTGTTATGTAAAAATACCAAAAGTACTTTCAACAACTTGTGGGTTTTTCAGGTGCAGAGGTGTACATAGTAACTAAAGCAGCTCCATGAATGAATGCTGGCTACTGTTCCTCACCCACCAGGGCATTTCCGTGCCTGCGCCTGATTGGCCTCTCCTTTTACTAAATTTTTATCCTCACCAGAGGACATTTTTTCTCATTGCTTTCGGAGAGAGACAGAGAATGGGAGAGCCATGATGCAAGAGAGAAATGTCGATTGGTTGCCTGTATGCGCTCCGACCCCCATTGGCTGGCTCAGACCCTCAACTGGCTATGTGCTCTGACCAGGAACTGAACCCTCAACCTTCCAGTCTACAGGATGACACTCCAACCAACCGAGTCACACCACACCAGCCAGGTGTGGCCAGACAGTCATTTTACTAAACTTTTAGAGTATTCATTAATGATGGACAACCCCATGGCATTTCCTTGGTTCCTTTTGCAGGTTGTAGGTGTTGAACTTTTCCGACATTTGTTTCATCCTTGAGAATGGGAGCCATGGTATTAGTGCTTTCTCCTTGGGTGCGTTCTGGAAATAGTTGCCTTGACTTTTCTCTTGGCAGCTTTAGCATAAGTACCTACTGTACAATTTAAAACAAGTTTTGTTGCTGCTGAAAACTAGACTTGTCATCTTGCTTTGTGTGTGATGATCGAAAGGTGTTCTAAGCCAGGTAAACTGAAAATATACTTCTTACACCGTGAGAGTGTGGTGAGTGGCATGTTGAAAGCACTTTAAATTCCATGTCTTTGAGTCCTACACTGAGAAGTGAAACTACCATGAGCAACTGGACGCGCCTTCCTGTCCTCAAATTATTTAGAACCAAAAAGAGTGTTTTGTTGTACCTATGTGAAAATCATATATTGAAATCAGTTCTTTGGATGTCATGAAACATTTAAACAAATTAGCGATCCTTTAAAAATATACAGTCCTTCCCTAAATAAAATCCCTCATTTTAATATGAAGTATGTTTAGTAACTTGATTTTCATTGCCCTTGGCTGGGTCTTTCCTAGCTGTGGGGAGTATAAGGTGCTTTCTGATACCTTCTTTGTCTTTCAATGCTCTGCAACCTTCGGCAACTGACAGCACGGTGCCTCTGGGAGGATGCTCAGCCTGCTCCCCACGATCCAGGGGGAGGCTGTTGAGCACAGAGACTGCTCCCGGCAAGTGACCGCTCCCCTGCCGTGGCCTTTTGGAGAGTGTACTGTCTGTTCAGTGTTGAGCACTAGAGGAAAAAGTGTTGTTAGACATGTATCAGGCAATAAATGGGCTTCAAATTCCTTTCCCTTCTCTTATCTATACAAGAGACCTTGTAAAGCAGATGTCATTCGGACTTATGAAGTAGAGGTCATGAGACATTCACAGAATGACTTACACGCCCCAAGTCATGTTAGTAACCGGTGCGGGGCTGTCTTACACAGCGCATCCGCCGTTTCCAGCCCAGGCTTTCTCCATTAGACCTCCCGCCCTGTATGTGTTGAATTGCACTCCAGTATGAAGTCCTGTACAGATAACGGAAGTACAGTTGCATGAAATTGAGTCTAGTGGTCATTTCCTGGTGCTCTTTGGAAGGGAAATTGTGTTCCAGTGGGATTATTTAGAGCCCCAGAAGCAAAGGAATCTTCCTTTGTGTCAGTGGTTCTCCACCAGCAA